TACATTTCATAGCTCCACAGCAGCACTTTGATTTATAGCTAGCAAAAACCCAACTCTGTGTGGTGACGTCAGAGGGAGAACATGTTGGAGCTTGCTCAACATTCTATATTAGAGATGGATGCAATATTCTTTAACACTTTATAGAGCAAGTTACCATTTTTGATCACTTGCATACACCTTACAAATGGAGTCCCCGTCCCCGCCCGGCCCTCAATGAGGTCTAGAAGCACAAGATCTATATCCAGCCATTCAGCAAAGATCCTGCTGTACATCATATTTTGCCATTTGACCAATTAGACGAGGCCTTGAATGATATATTACCTACTGTAAAATAAGTTGGGAAAAAAAAAAGTTTACAAGTCAAGAAAAAAAAGGTAAAAAGCTAATTGAAAAGTTAAAAAGTAAAGTTACAAAGTTAATAAGCGTACTTAACAATTACATGTAGGTTTATAAACTAAAAAATGCAAGTGCCAGTATCAGCATTAATGCCTCTTAGGTTAAGTTGTACCAAAAAAAATGTTTCTTTCACTCTCAGAGTGTTTTTGATGAATTTCTTATAGAAGCACTTTTGTTATTTTTCTTAATATATTCGGTCAAGTTCACGTTTCATGTTATTACTGTACATTGACATTACTTTTTGCCATCAAAATATCCATATTTTTCAATGTTACAAAGGTAATAAGGTCTTGTCCTGGATTCCAATAACACTATTGGCTTGAAATTTTGATTTTCAAAGAATTTCACTGAGTGCCATATGAAGGGTTAAGTTAAATCTAGTAACTCAACCTGTCCTTCACTGCCAGGGTTCTCAGGGATGAACACCCCAGATTTCATCTGCTGTTTTATTTAGTTAAATTTAAAACACCTATGTGGGAAACTTAATTACCTGCTTATCATAGCAGAAATAAAAATCAAACCCTTTCCTGCAAAGAGAACAAGCAGTAAAGGTAATTTATGGATACTGACAGATTTCACCTGAAAAGTTGTATCTAGACCAAGCTCCATGGCTGCAGATGATGCTGACATCAGTAAATCCCAACCCAGTGTGGCACAGTAAAAAAAATCTTAGTTTATTTTGATCTTGTCAATCTTAGCATCTCCATCATCCAATTCATTTCACCACAATTCCCCTACAGACCGTATTTCAATGCCAGTGCAACGCAGAGCTGCAAAGAGGAGAGCAGTAAAATGGAGGGAGTTTTCTTATTACACGTGCTTTAATCTCGTGTTACATAATTTCACTTGATGTATTGCCAGTTACTCTGCCGTGGCTGAGTATAATTTAGTGTGCAGCGTGCCCATGCACTGCACATTTATCCTTGTATACTGTATATGACATAAATGATACAATTCAACTGCATGTTGCACAATGATTCAGATATTGGGTATGCATCTGGCTACCTCTGAGTGGCTCCAGCCCACATCAGATAAAACACTTAAACAATTACTGTCTTATCTGCTGAGCTAGAAGAAGAGCTTGTGGTCTCATTATGGCCAGATTAGACAGAAATTCAGAACCTCACTCACTTCTTAGTCCAATTCATCAGTCCTACCGGCCCTCGGGTGGAACCTAGCCATTAGTATTCACAGAGGAGGCTGTAATGTAAGTCAGGCATCATTTGGATAATTCTGCATTTTGTGGCTGTTAGCCACTGGAATGTGTTCTTTTTTTCCTTGCATAATCTCATAAAAAAAAAGCCAGACAGAATGGGTTGTAAATATACTGGTTAAAATAAAATAAAAGAAAATGTAATTTTTAACTGAAACTGAAGGAAAAAGACTGAAACCGAATCTGATTTCCTCTTAAAGATAGAAAGCATAGAGAAAGGAAACAAGTAGAAAAATCATTCTTGAAATAGATTACAGCAATAAAACAAACACTCCTAAAACTCCTGACAAGAGGTTCATCCTTGTTGAATACCACGTTTTTCAAATGGAGTGCAGCCATTTTTTTTTTCAGATATTGCAATATCTTTTCTTAAGCCCAGATATTTATTCTACTTAATTAATCCTTATAGCGAAAGTTTTTCCTTTGTTTTCTTTACAAAAATAGAAGTCATCAAGTGGAGGTTGTAAAACTTCTTGATAGAACTGGCTAAATATATGTAGAAGAAATAAGATGAACAATGTTCCTGGGGAAAAGGTTGACACCATGTTCACCTGGATTGTTAAATAAAGAGTCAAAGCTAAGTTTCTATTTTTTTCAATGATGAATAATCCCAATGAGTTTTCCCCTCAGTTGAGTTTTACCAATATAATAAGTTCTGTGGCTCTGAACAATGATTTTTGACTCCATTTTTATGAAAAGTCTGACGTTATAATGAATATTCATTGAAAAATAAATGTGCCGTTAAAATAAAAAAAATGTCCTTTTTTCTTTTTTTTTTCTTTCTGTCTTGCTTTCTTTCTTCTTTTTCTCTGTCTTTCATTTTTTAATGCTGCTCTCTTTCATATGAGACAATGCAACAGAAATGATGGCCCTTGTACTGTCAAACAAATTGTCTTTCTTTCTGTCTCTGTCGCTCACACAATATTTTCGCTTTGTCATTTTCTTTATTTTTCATGGCCTGTTTTTCCACTCCTTTCACGCATCTCTCCTCCTCCCATCCTCTGCAGGGCATTGAGCGCCAGCTATCAGTTTTACAGGCAGCTCCACTGAAGCATGCACTTACATTTCTGATGGTGTTTTTTCTCCTGCTCAGTACCAGACTTAACAGTACAGTCATGACTGTTTTTTGTTTGTGCACATAGTGTACACCAGAGGTTATCATTAAAAGTCAATTTCCTTCATCAGAGGAATATTTTTGTTTTTTAAAGACTTATGTCATCAGACACATGTATAGAACCTGAATATTTATATGTAAACATTGCCAGATGATAAAAATGGTTTGTCTTATTTGATGTTTTTTTAATTGGTCAGAATGTTCAATGAAAACTCTTTCAAAAGATTCAAATTTCTGACAATCATTTCATGGTTTAAGGCTTTTAAAGGTTAAAGGAAATGCATTCAATATTAGAGATGCACTGATCCAATACCTGGATCAAATACCGGCACCAATATTGACTAATTAGATTGGATATTTGCGATTTGATACAGAATATCCAATATCCAATCTAGTGGGCATTACATGGAACAGTTATTTCTTTGCTGCTTATTTGATAATAAAATATAAGAAGTACATTTATTGTTTCCTCTTTTAATCAATCTTTTTCACCAATGTTTATTCATTTAACCGTTGAATTGGATCAGTATGGGATATCGGCATATTCACTCTGCCCAGGTGTCGGTATACAGTAGGATTAAATAGTAAAAACTTCATTGGTGCATCCTACTCAACATGCTATAAAGTGCCAGCCAGAGTTGTAACCTGAACTTACAGCTATTTATGTCAGGAGCTGCATTTCCATTAATCGGCAAATTGTGCAGATTGAAATTCCGAAAATAAATTCACGAAATGGAAACACTGCAAAAAAAAAACTTTTTAAATTAATTTTTTAACTTAAAGTTTTTACACTTCAAGGAGGTGGTTTTTAGTCCTACTGAAATTCTTATATTTGGCCAAACTGCAATGGAAACACTTTCTTCGTATCACATGAGTTGCGTGATATGCAACTGGACCTTACTGCCTTGTAAAAAGATGAAAAAGAAGAAAACCGGAAGTAGATGGAGGATGTCGCCACCAGAGCTGTGTGTTTACATCCACTTCTTCTATTAACGTGAAATTTCAAATGCATTATTAAATGAAAATACTGCAATTACGAAACTTTGCAGTTTCAAAGGGGGAGTGGCGGCCTAGTGGTTAGTAACCTGACAACAGCCAGATGCATGTCTCGCTCCGCCCAGCTCCACTCACATAGCGGAGAGCGGAGTGAGACATGCATCTGGCTGTTGTCAGGTTAAGTGGTTAGGGCATAGAGCTTGGGAATGCAGTGGTTCTGAATTCTAGCCCCACTCCCACAGCCTCCACTCTGGGTCCCTGAGCAAAGACCCTTAACCCCACACTGCTCCCTGGGTGCTTCACAATGGCAGCCCACTGCTCACCTAGGGGATGGGTTAAATGCAGAAAGCACATTTCGTTTCTCTCTACATGTGACAGTGTAATGACAATAAAAGCTGGGTAAGAAAAGAATAGTTTTGCATAGATTTGTAATGGAAACACAACTATTGATGTATGCCAGAGTTAAGGTTCAGCTTTTCTTCTCTTCATGCCTGCATAAAATACACTGCTACTACTTTTTGTTAGCATTTGTTGTCTTCGTGACCTTGTTGGTTTTAGGATTCAACTCTCAGCACTGTTGCTCATATATGATGGTCTCTTTTTACATGTTGTCATTTCTTGACTTTTTTAGATTAGCACAAATCTGTCTGTCTTAGCTGGGTTTAGGGTTTAGCCATAGTATCAAGGAACACATTTTTCATAAACAGCTGAGATTGCAGAGCAAATTGTGCATTAAACTGTATATTCATTTCCAAAGCCATAACATAATATTCATTCTTTGTATTTTGAATGTTTTCTTCAGTGAAAAGCTGGGAGTTCCTGGACTCTCTGCGCTGTTGAAACTTTGTGCCCCTGTTGCTTATTTGTCCTTGTTTCAGTTTCAATTTCCAAGCATTTCTATTTTTCTCTTAACTTCAAAATTTTTTTCTCGGATTTCCTTTTTTGCACATTTGTAACTTTCATATGTACCTGTACCTAACCATTGCATATTAGTTTTTTTATATAACAACATTTTTTGTCTAAAACTATTGTTTCTCACTCTGGCATTTTTAACATGGCATTAAATCATTTAAATCTATAAAGGTTTTAGGGAGGTAATACGTTACTGCAGAAAGAAATGAACTTATTTTATTTACAAGTCTTTGCATATTTAACAGGAGCTCATGGCATACATGACTTTTCAATAAAAAAATTTAAAAAGGGGACTTTTAAAAGAGTCGTCTTTCACCATTATAACAAGATTCTGTTAAAGATCTGATGTGTTCATTTCTCCTCCCATAGACTATGCTGACCGCCATCTCTATGAGTGCCATCGCAACCAATGGAGTAGTGCCAGGTGGGTGAGCAGACGCCGGCGCCACACTGTCATCGCTGTTTGATGCTGCCCGCTTCTAAATTTTCCCTTTTCACGGATTGCTTTTGGCACATTCCTCCGTGCACAGCTTGATATATTCAGAAACATTAGGAGCTTTAGTCTGTGATCTTGTGCTCTTTAACTTTCCTGTCGCACGTTATTTACACAAAATAAAATATCAGCCAAATTCCTGGCAGTAAAACCCAAATCCCCACTTTTCATGTGACGACGCATCGCTGTATGCATGCAGTATGTAGTGTTGGGCTTCACAGTAATAATAGTCCACATCTTACTCCACCAGGGGTCACAGCAAATTAGAGGCTTGGATCTGCACACCCATTATAAGTGTCTGGCTTATAATGGGTGGCAGCCTTTATGTTGCAGGGAAGTGCTGATTAGGGTCTATTCATTTATATACAATGAATTAATTGGCACATTGTTCCTCAGAAATACAAAGGCACTGTGTTAACATGCAACAGCAAGAACAAGTTACATTGACAAAGTACAGAGTTATACAGCTACTCCACTGTTCTCTGTTATTTGAAGGGGTTCTTATTATTAATATTGTTTATGCAAAGGTGAACATTTATTGTTCCCATTAAAACTTACAACTAGGAGTGTCCCGATGTAACTTTTCATTTCTGATACAATACCGATATTGCAGCTTTGCAAATTGGCTGATATCCATATTGATCTGATATTAAATTAGTGTTAATCATACCAGGTTTCTTTGGTTATTTTATTGAATGTTAGAAAAGGCTTGATAAACTAATATTACTTAAAGAGGGAACAAAATTCAACAACTAAAGGTATGAAAACAACTGACCCATGTAAAATTAACAGATGAGTCATAGAAAAGTGTTTCTATCAGCATGACAATATCGGAGATTTTAGATTCTGGCTGATAAATTTTTTTCTAATATTTGATTGATATCCCATATTAATATTACTTACAACCATTTAAAATTGTTTTTAGGTTAATTTTCTGTAAGCTGATGGTCATTTTTCATGAACATTAACTACCTTTTATTAAAAAAAATAGAATACAATAGAATTGAGGGATCACTTTATCATGTTTTTTTAAATACATCATCAAATATATGAAACCTAAAGGGCAACTTAACATATATTTTAATTGATTGCTGTTATTATAACTGTAATAAATGTATGCAAAACTTATAAACAGTCCTAATATATATACATTTCACTGTTTATCTTATGTCTGTTCTTAGCTGGTGGCTCCTACTACATGATTTCCCGTTCCCTGGGCCCTGAGTTCGGTGGAGCAGTTGGGATCTGTTTCTACCTGGGAACCACCTATGCTGGAGCTATGTACATCCTGGGGGCCATCGAGCTGCTTTTGGTAGGCAACATTTTACCGCTAAACCTGCTCATTTCACCGAGATTACCACTTTCCTTCTCTCTAACCATTGTTGCTGTTATTGTCAGAGAAAATTTCTTATGTTGTTTTTAACAAATTACGGTAAGTTTTGTACAAAGTTCACACAGCCCAGATTCAGAGACCAATAAAAACAGTGTTTCAGTAGCTCAAAGTTTATTTTACTCAACTCTTCAAAAAGATGATGCAATAATCCACTTTTACATGCAGATTTCCAAACGTAGATGTATTCCTATCAAGTCATCGTACTTTCACTATGTTATAACTCCATAAAATTCAATTTAAAACTGTGGTGCCATTTTAAGCTCAACTACTAAACTCTTTAATTCAGTTCACTTTATCTATTTTGTGCCAATTCACAACATATATCTTCTCGATGCAGTTTATATAAAAGTTACTTTGATCCAGTCATACATACAAATTCCAGAACAATTACATACAATCTCATTTGATTCCAGTTGTCAAAGAAAACAGTTAAGTTCATTATTCAAATTGGAAACATTAAAAATGTTTTCTGAGAAAGCCCAGGAGGGTCATGTTCTTACAGAAAATCTTCCTCCTGAGTGAGCATATACTAACTAGTTGCTTCCATAGAGTCATTAACACTGCAGCAATCCCTCATAGTGAGGATGCATGTAGCAACAGCAGAAGGAATTCATTTTATATGTTTCCAAGCCTATAGGATGACAATGAGTAATTAGTTACAGCAAAAATGAAGCCAACTGCTAGGAGAAAGACAGGGCGGTTGATGTCAGGAGCAGATCAATCCATGCCCCCGTCTCAGGAATGTGTGATAGCGAAACAAAGCAACATAAATATGAAAGTGCTGAATATAAAATTATAACCTCAAGAAATAAGAGCAGAATTGTTTGGAGAGAAATAGAAGAATGTAGCACTCCTTCATATCAGCTTCTCTTTAAAAAGTTAAGAATTATGATTAAAAAAAAAGAAACTATCAAATATGGAGAAATTAAGTATCATAAATTAAAATCTAAATTGATTTTTTTCAACATTTTAATTGGAGCTTATTTCTGTTGTTTTATTTTTCTTATCTCCCTTGTAATTATGACCCTAGATAGAACCCAAATCGTAGTTTGCAACCCCCTGCTGGTTCATTGTATTTATTACTCATGACTACATTAGCTTAGCAATTTATTAGTGGATTGTAGAGAAAAAAGGAAAAAAAATTTTTTTAAACCATTGATTTTGAAAGCACATTTCCAAGATCTCCAAGCTTAAACAATTAGCTTTATGGCTGGAACAAAATGTCCTAAAAGCCCTAAAAGGTGGCTATAAAAGATAAATCTGCAAAAATGTATCCTCCTTTTGTAGGTTGTTTGGACTTCTTCTTATTAAACGAGTTCAACCAGTTATTTTCTCTTTTTATATTTACAGCACTGCTTGCCTTGTCTTTATACAAACAGCAATAGTTATACTGAAAGCATTTATTTTGACAAAAATCTTCTAAAAATACACATGAGGCAGGATTGAAAGTAGTTTAGCAGATTCCTTTTTAAAGTACATATTTACTGCTTTAAGAACTCACTCATTTATTTTAATTAAATATTGCTATTATGAAAATAATGCTTATGCAGCTGAAATCTGTGTTTTTCTCCCACATCAACAATAAAGATAGAAACATGTTCAGATATTTCTCCTGAAGCGTTCCCATGCCAACCCCGATTGCTTGTTAATCTTATCTGCGCTCGTCTCTATTTTTGTTGCTCAGCAGCAGGAAGATGATCCTCACATTTTTAATCCTGACCAGAAAACCTACGATTGGCCTACATTTTCTGACCAGAGAAACGACAGTCTGTCTGAAAAATAGATCTTAGACTGGCATCAACACAGCCAACAAATAAAACCCCACATAAACCGTTGGCATGATGTGATGAAATAAATGTCATCGTTGAAGTCTGCAGAAAATCCTTCATCCTTCCCTGGTTTTTGAAGCTCAGAGGTTATTTAAATATATTTCGGAAAATATTACCCTGATTATCCTCCATCTTCCTTTCTTCCTCTGCCTTTTTCCTCTTTCTCCTTTTGTAGCCCATGTTTTGTATAATTATGCAGATGATGCACTAATTGGAGATCTAGATCCTAAATCTGGTTACAGCTATCTTATGATTATATATAGTTTTTCTTTTCTCTATCTCCTTCTGGTCGTCTCTTGCACAGTTTGATCATGCATGGAGGTTAATACTGTCTTCTGGGTCAAATCTAGCTTAATTTCCATTGTAAAAATGACAATCCCATCAGCATGGTGTAGAAATGCCCCCATTTCATCCATCCATCCCCAACCAAGAACACATACTGAAGCTGCTATTTTAGGAAGTATGAAGAGTTCAAAGTGAAGGGAGGGATTTGTTTGCCCGGTGATAAGCTGTTATTAGCATCACATCAGCTTTTCCAAACAACAGCCTGAGCTGAGTTTTAACCTCTTCTTCTTGGCTTTTTATTTCAGGAGATCTTTAGAGCAATCAAACAGTTTTTCGTGAAAATCTAATGGCTGTTTTTGTTTTAAAAAAGGAAGAAACTCCAATGCTTATGTAACAGCAGTGCTGTGAATCATCACGAGCTGATGACAGACACTGATGGTAATTATGGGTTTCTAGTTTGCTGTATCAGATTGGGCTATTCTTGGATTAGTAATAGTAGACATATATTAATGACACAACTTTCAAATATTGATTTCCATGGCTGGGCTTTTAAATTAAACAGTTGAAACAGCAGTCAGAGTGCAGCAGAGGACTGTTAATGCAAGAATCATGAGTTTCACCCTCTTCTCTCCTCACCTCATTCCTTTCTGCTCTTGTCTTCTTTTATATAATTTTTATTCTTATTTTTCCCCTCTGGATAAAAGATAATATGGTTTTCAGTTTACAGTCCGCAAGACGGCCACATTTATAACCTTAAGTCTGCCAGCTGAAATCCCCTGACACACAGGGGAAAGTGAAAGTGGATGAGCAATACTGCATTGTCTAAGCTACTACCTCCAAGATGCCCCCTGGCAAAACATAAAGTTTTTATAAGAAAATCTGTGTTTTCTCTTTGACCCTTACGTTTAGATCTACATATGTCCCAAAGCAGCGATATTTCCCATTGAGGGTCTGGAGGGTGCTGAGGCAGAAGCCGCCCTGCTGAATAACATGCGCGTGTACGGGACCATCCTGTTGACCTCCATGGCCACTGTCGTATTTGTTGGCGTCAAGTATGTGAACAAGCTGGCCCTGGTGTTTCTGGCCTGCGTCATCCTCTCCATTCTGGCCGTCTACGCTGGAGTCATCAAGACCGGCATTGAGCCGCCCGTTTTCCCGTAAGTGACGTAACTGAGACAGTAAAGAAGAAGCAGCACAAACATAAATCAAACCATTAAAATCTTTATTTTGCTCTTTGACATGAAGAAAATCCAGCACCTAAGAGAACTTGATTAGTGCTGTTTAAATTAGTAGAATGTGGTTTTATGGTTTCTGTCGTTGCGTTTTTGCACTACATCACACACTGTTATGAATACATATTTAACAACACATAATACACCTATATTCTGTTTGTAAGAAGCCTGATTTTCTTGTAATCTTTTAAATTGCTCTGAGTTAGAGCTAAAAGAAATTCCTGCAACAAATAAACAGTATGTCATCGCCATGTCTTCATGAAATGATATAATTAGATAATACCTCACAGAAGACCTGAGAGATACATCATCAATCCATTTAATCACCAATATCCACCAGGATTTTAGCTCTTTGCTGCTTGTTTGTAAATGAGAGAAATGAACCATTCAGGACTTTCCTAATTTCTGTTTCTCATAAAAATGAAGAAAAAATAATATTCTGATTTATGCATCAATGCATTTCTTTCTACTGTTGTGATCTGATTTTTTTATTTATTTTTTTTTTTTTTAACCAAAAATTGCATCAAGTTAGAAGCTGTAAATCAATGCATTTATAGACAGTAAGTGATGGGAGTTTTTACCACCGCTGAACTCTACTGATAAGGGCAGATAAAAACAATATTGGAAGATTTCACCTCTGACAGACTCATTAGTGTGTCTCCACTTAAACATACTTCCAATTTGTCAAACTGGAATAAATTAAATTTTTTTGAGTACCAAAAAGCAGAGATAGAAGCAGAAGTGGTTTCCTGCAGGCATAATAAGCAAAAGGTAGCAACTGAAGCAGTAATCCACAAACAAAACTCAGAAAAAACTAAATCCAGGAGACGTCAGGGAAAACATACATGAGGAGCACAAAGACAACGAGGAAGCAGCAAACAGTAACTGAAGAGGAGGAGTAGTATATATGCCAAACAGAACAAAGACTGCAGTAATCAATTGATTGGGAGCAGGTAGGTCAACAGAGGGTAAACAAAAAATAAATAAGAACTCAAATACAACCAGAAAACGACACAAAATGGAAATGAAACTAGAAAACACAGAAAAACATGAATCAAAGTGTAACTGAAAACTCAAAAATAAAACTGAAAAATCATGACAGGGAACATGTTTTCTATTTGTTTAAGCTGCTAATGAAGCTGCCGAAACGTTTCTCACATAAAATCAATTCAACTACAGAATGAATGTAATGTTAATAAAAAAAAGTTTTTTTGTGCGTGTACGAACAAAGAAATGATTATGTTTTGTTCTTGTCTTTTCTCCAGTGTTTGTTTATTGGGAAATCGCACTTTGGTTTGGAAGAACTTTGATGTTTGTGCCAAAACCCTTGAGACGGCTAATGGAACAGTGACCACGCAGCTGTGGAGCATGTTCTGTGACTCACCTTTCCTTAACGCTACCTGTGACAAATACTTTACTGCCAACAATGTGACGCAGATCCAGGGCATTCCTGGGATTACCAGTGGAGTTTTGAAAGGTTGGTCCAGTTGAATTGGATCTGCTAGAACTCATTTTACAGAATAAGACAACATCTGGGGTTTTTATATATATATATATATATATATATATATATATATATATATATATATATATATATATATATATATATATAGCTCTATCATAGGTGTTTTTTTTTTTATATATCTACTCTGGTAACCATAATAATGAAAATAAATTACCACAGTTGCTTTTTTTTTTCTAATTGTACTAAGAGTTTGTTTCTTTAATTTAAGTGGTTGTATTGCAAAATCCCTATCTTCTGTAATTTCTGTCATTTTCTCATAAGGACACAAAAGTTTGGATAATGACAGGCAGCTTAAATCTTTGAAGATGACGTTGATGTCTAGCCAATCACAGTTCACTTTTTTCTCAGCTTTAAGTTCTACAAACATTGAACAGACTTTTAGACCATTAGCTCTGAAACCTAAAAGCTAAATTAACCTTATTTAACTTTGATGGTTAACAATAAAACCCTGCATTAGGCATAGGGTAAAATCTGTGCCTTTTAATGACCCTACCTTCTTGGAACTCCTCATATTTTACTGAACAAAGTACTTTTATTGTAGCATTTCAATGTATGAATCATTGAAGGCATTTATTGTCACAGCTGTTAATATTAATTCCCTCATTAAACATTGCTCTATTAAAGAGGTTGGAGGAGGCCCAAGTTTGTGTTAAGTCAAGTCTTTTCTTGTTCTTGTACTCCCAAGAGAGGAGTCTGTGAACATGAGGCTGATTTTTCAATAGCTGGTATTTCATGAGTAAGAAATGAACTTTTTGTATATTTTTAATTGTAACAGATGTTCTCTGAATGGCTGAAGAACAAAGTAGATAAATCTGTTGGTTTTTTTCTAAGTGGATTGAATGTAATTAAAGGAATCACTTTTTTAGCTTCGTCTCACCAAGTGACGCCTTTCTCACCTGGTTTATTTATTCTTCACCAAACCACTTTATTACCAATACAGATAACTTGTTTGGGAACTACTATGAGAAGGGGGATCTGGTTGCCAAATATGACCTGGAGTCAGTGGAGGACCATGATGACCCTCTTACCAATTCTAACCGCTACGTTTTGGCTGATATCACCAGCTTCTTTACGCTGCTGGTTGGCATCTACTTCCCATCAGTGACAGGTGACCATTGTTGCTCCGCTTATTGTTTTGCTTTTTACTGGATGTCTGAACATTCATTGTGTCAACACTAATAATATTATAACAAATTTAGTCTCTTGTGAGTTTGAATTTGTAATCATAGTTACAACCTTTTTTTACAGGAATCATGGCCGGATCCAACCGCTCAGGAGATCTGCGTGATGCTCAAAAGTCAATCCCCATCGGAACCATTGCAGCCATCACAACCACCTCCACTGTCTGTATCCTCATATGGCTTCAACCTCAGCAAGAAAAAAAAAACAAACTCTGAACACGCAGATCTTGAAAATAACACAGTTTTAACATCATTGAAAGACGTTTGTTTTTTTTTCGGCTTATTGTTTTTTTGTTGCCGGGTTTTTTTTTTCCCTTAAAAAAAAAAATATTTTCTCAGCTGCATGAGAAAAAAATAATTTTGGCCGACAGGGAGCCTCGTAATTAAAGGTCAGGATTTTAAATTTGGAAAGGTCATAACTGTGATGATGCCCATCTCATTTTCAAACGTAACTAAAAGTTTTCATGCATCATTAACGTTATTGACATTCGACCTCATCTTTAAGTTTGCTTCCAAATCAGTTTAGTGCCACTTACTTTTCGTATTTCTATCCAAACCAGAAGGTCATGGAATACAAGACCAACTTGTTGTCTGATAATTTTGTTTCTTTACAGGCAGAATGGGTCTAAGCATCTGTATTGAATAACGTTCAGTGTTTCTCTGTATAATCAGCTTTTAGTCTACTCAGATTTGATTAGGACTTCTAATTAGGTTATCTAGCTGCCTATGCAAGTGCAACTTAATAAACCTGGGGGATATTTGTTACAATGTCACTAATCTCTTATATATCCACTAAACAATATTGATTATTGCATTTTTCTCGGAAATATACTTAACTTTTTATCGGCAAATTGAATGCATTTTGAGACTTAAGTCAATTTAATATCCATCGTCTGAAAAACATGCCAGCTGTCACTGTATGTTTTAATTTTCCTGATGCCTACCCTCCCAGACATGACCAGCGTGTTTCTGTTTGGTGCCTGCATTGAGGGGGTGGTCCTCAGGGATAAGTAAGTCCATCCTTTGTGTTTGAAAGCAAATGGATTTATCATCACTTCGATAAATATGTTAACGTAATGCTGGTGTGTTGTAGGTTCGGAGAGGGCGTGCATGGGAACTTGGTCATTGGCACGTTGGCTTGGCCGTCGCCATGGGTGATCGTGATTGGCTCTTTCTTTTCCACTTGCGGGGCAGGGCTCCAGAGCCTGACGGGAGCTCCTCGTCTTCTGCAGGCCATCGCCAAGGATGGCATTGTGCCCGCCCTTAGGGTCAGTTTCTGTTCCTGCCACAGTCACAATGTAGTGACTATACTTGCAGGAAGAAGAGCAGAAGGTACCTCATGCAGGCATAACTGTAGAAGCTGTGTTAATGGGTTTTCTGTTTGTGTAGATCTTTGGCCATGGAAAGGCCAATGGAGAACCAACATGGTCCCTCCTACTGACAGCTTGTATCTGTGAGAGCGGCATCCTTATTGCCTCCCTGGATGCTGTGGCTCCTATCCTCTCCATGTAAGAACTGGAAATCAAATTAATTGCTACATTCAGAAACAGTAGGAGAGTTCAGAACAGTCGGTGCCTAAAACTAAATGCCAGATTTTTATCGGCTCAGAATTAATCTCTTCTTACCTTTGAAAACAAAGCCCTTCAACTACATTCAGTTTATTCCAATATGTCAGAGGAAATACTAAGATCTATGTTGCAAACTGAGTTAACTTGTTGCCTGCAGGTTCTTCCTGATGTGCTATATGTTTGTGAATCTGGCCTGTGCCCTTCAGACGCTCCTGAGGACTCCAAACTGGAGGCCCCGCTTCAAGTTCTACCACTGGTCGGTTTTTTAGTAAAAACATCGTCTTGTTTTTTTATGTTTCAAATCAAATCTCTATTTTCCTATTTGTATCTTATACCTCATATTGCTTTCTAGGGCTCTGTCCTTCCTTGGGATGAGCTTGTGTCTGACTCTAATGTTCCTCTGTTCCTGGTACTACGCCATCGTGGCCATGGGGATTGCCGGATCTATCTACAAGTACATTGAGTTCGCAGGGTGAGTGGAAAAGGAAATCAGATTATTTAAAATCAAGACTGCAACTTTTAAAAACAAAATAATTCTTAAATGTAGAATTGGAAAAGAGGGATGTATTCAGTCCACCTGACCATATGTTTTGCTTCAATGTAGGGTGTGTGTCTACCAGCTTCGCACTTATGAAATATTTCCCACTTTTCACCCTGCTTAAGAAAAGTTTCAGAATATATCTTGTAAAATGAAAGAATATCATTTAAGAAATACTTTATAAGTCAAAAAGGTAAATTAAAGGTTGTAGCTCTTAATAGAGGGTTTTTCTTCAATGAGTTGTTTGTGATGCTGACGGCACTAGGTCTGTTTTCTGTCCTTTCTAATGGAAAATATAGAGTTTTTTTTTTTGCCGTCCTCATACTTGTTCTGATTGTCTTTATGTGGGACCGGGTCGCAGGGGCTGCGGTCTCAGCAAAGACTCCCCAACTTCCCTCTCCCAGACACTTTGCTGGAGGAAGTCCTATTGTTATGAGCACAGCATCTTCTCTATGTTCCCTGCATCTTCTTATGACTTCTATCAAACTTTACATTTGACTTCTATCAACTATCCTTATTCAGCCTCTTTTTTGTTCCTTCTGTTATGATGGTCAGATTCGCTTCTCCTGTTCGCAGGTTGAGATTTGGATGTCTGATGCTCCTCCAGAGTTATCAAGAATTTTTTTTTTCCACTTCTAATTAATCCCCACCATATCCATTCAGGTGCTAGGCTTATTTTGATCAAGTTTAGAGTTGTTCGGTCATATTCTATTTTCAGATGATCGATCAAACAGTGCTTCATGAGATGTAGGTTACAGACAGCAGCTACATTTACGTGTGCGAAATTTTCTGATCTGATCTGAACCTTGGTTAACTGGGAATTCAACATTTCTGTAACACCAAAGATCCAGTGGCGATCTGCCAAAACCACATCTTTCTTTCGAAATGAAATATATTTCCATTCGCGCTGAATCAGATTAGAATCTTTAGTCTGAAATGTTTGCATTAAACATTTTTGATATGATCAAACCTTCAATCTCAGTATTGGATTATTGGATTTACTCTATAGATTTTCCTTCCACTTCAAATGTTTGTGCTACATTGAAAATTTCAGTTGTAACATGAAATAGTTCAGGATACAAGAATAGTTTTGCAAGGCGCTTAATGATGAGCATAAAACTGTGTTTCTAACAGAGACGCCATCTCGGCAGTCTTTGCCCTTTCAACCTTTCAATATGAATGTTAGGTAACAGAACTTTTGATGTTCTGACTGATAAACATTGGTTATATCGCAGTGCGGAGAAAGAATGGGGTGATGGGATACGCGGTCTGTCTCTGAGCGCTGCACGGTACGCTCTAATGCGCCTTGAGGAAGGCCCGCCACACACCAAGAACTGGAGGTATGACACACAGGAACATGCCTTGCCATGCTTTCTTTATCGTGTGCAGCCATTCTTGAGTCACAGCTGTCAAACCGAAAGTTTTGTGCATATCAAAATGTGAATCATTTATGACACTTTCCGATTCCAAGAAGGATTTCTCCTTTTTTTATTCTTCGTCTCATTCTCTCCCGTCAGACCTCAGCTGCTGGTGCTGGTCAGCACAGATGCAGAGCAGAACGTGGAACAGCCACGTCTGCTGTCTCTCACCAACCAGCTGAAGGCAGGGAAAGGTCTCACCATCGTCGGGACAGCTCTGGAAGGCACCTACCTGGCGAACCATGAACAGGCTCAACGCGCAGACCAGGCAGGGAGCATTTCACAGTCTTACCACAGCCTGCCACCTCTGATCAACGTGTTTATTCTAAGCGGCACAGAAAACATTCCAGTCTTTCCGAATGATATTACAAATAATCAGTCAACCAAAAAGATTTGAAAGATATCAAATCTCTCTGAAGTCATGAAAAATTATATTTTAAATTATAATAAAGTTTATTATAATAAGTTTTTTGAATTCATATGATACTCTAAGGGCCTGATCTTCAAAAGGTTGATGTGTATTAAAACACATCAGGAATCACTAGCATGCAAAAAAAAAAAACTGATCTCCAATTCCTCTTGCACGCGTAAACCAGGTGGAACAGCCAACACCCACACCTTTTTTGCCTGTTTGCACTCATAATCTTATGATATAAAAATAAAATAGTCACCACCAGCACAGGTATTACTCAAATCATAAACCAATTGCAGGCAATATTTTTGCATTCCTAATCTTAAAGGTTCAACCTTCTGGGGTCATTGTAGCCACAAAGGAGGCGTTGCTACAGTGACAGATGATGGCGAGAGAGAGAGAACCTCTGCGCATGTAAACATGTTTGGACTGTCAGGAATAAATATAGCAGAATATTATTACAAGGGAAAATTACATCAGTATGGCTGGCTCAAAGTAATGCAGCTGGAACCAAATCTGTAAGCAATGAAAGCACAATGGAAAAAAAACATGTCTGAACTTTAATATTTTAACATGTTTATAAAAGACTGAACTGATTATTAAAAGCCAACAGAGAAAAGAACACCCAACAGTATGCCAGCCTGGTTTGTGTCTTCAGCAATCTTTCTAGTCATTCCTTTAGAGCTCCACAGCTATGTTTTATTAGATTGTTATGGGCCTAACTTGGTTTGTAAAATTTTAGGTAAAGCGAATGTTGTGAAGAGTTGGTGGAGGTAAATCCTGCCGCTTAGAGCAGTGATTCCCAACCGGGGGTATGTGTACCCCTAGTGGTCTACAAGTGCATTGCAAGGGGTGCATGAAAATATTTTACTTCTTAGGTAGTAAAATGAAATAAGGCTGTTCTGTTCTACTTTGTGAGGATCCAATTGAAATATTAAACAAGCTTTTATCAAACAAAATGTAAGTTTTTCTTATATGTTTGAGTTCACCTTCAGCTTTAACACACATCCAAACCAAGCCGAGGAACTGATTGGATGTAGAGAACAGCCTGGTATCAGTTGTTTTTTCCACACCTGAGGTATAGCAGCTCATCAAAGCAGCTCAGGTGTTTTGATGAAAACAAAGTAAAACTAATTAAGTCAGTCTGACTGTAATTTTTGTTCTGTATTATTATTTTTTTTTTCAGATTTATCAAGTGTAAATTTGATCATAAGGAAGTTACTCAGAAGAGCTCCCGTTTTATACAGGTTTACAGGTTTATAATAGGATTTTATTTTGTATTTATTTTAATTCCTTACTAACTTCCAGGCAACATGTTTAAAATGAAATGCTCAAGCTAAAAGATTAAGTAAAATTTTTTTTTTTTATAAGCAGTTATTGAGTATTTCACTTTTGGATAATCATCAATACTTTTGACTGATGATAATCATGATAAGAAAAAAATATTTATTAATAATCACTTCCTCCATCTCCAAGGCCTATAAACTTTGAACTTTTCTTTAAAGGCCACTCTCAAACTGCCACTAGTACGCAAATTGCTCATTGAAATGGGGCCGACCAAACCTTGTTGATCACCCACAAAACAGTCACGTTTTGCACATGCAAATATGTTTTTTAGCCAAGGCAATTTAGCCTTTTGTTTTTGAATTTTTCAAGATCAGACTTGTAAAATGTAAACATAAAAATCAGTAATTTTAATTAAAAAAAACATATTATTTATATGTTTGGTTATTGTAGTGGGAAAAAGGTATTGAACTATTCAGCCCAGTAAAATAAACTGAGATTGATGGATTTTACTCAGTCTGCACTTTATTTTTATATCTTTGCAAAGAGAGAACAGTTCATCATACAGCCCCAGTAATCAGCCCTGTTGTGCCTGGGCAGGGTTTATTCCCCCTTACTTACAATAATGAAAAGTTTTAGAGTCAAACCAAATGACAGACACTTTGGGTGAGCAGTAACATGTTATGAATAAACCTTGAAAAAGAATCTGGTTTGTTATGGGAAGAAGCTAGGTCTGGTCTATAAATACCCTCACACAGGGGAATCGTGTGGCAATGCAGATGAAACAGGCTGAGTGAAAACTTTTATAGTGAGTAAATAGGATAAATTTATGTATGAAAAAAGAGAAACTAAATTTTCTGACCACACTTATCTAGCTACAGTCTGCTTATATGGGACTGTGTTCAGGATTATTCTGTAGAGGTTTAATAATTGACAGGTTTTTTTTTTTTTTTTTAAATTTCCAGGCACTGCGCAAATTAATGGAGACTGAGAAGGTGAAGGGCTTCTGTCAGGTGACTGTATCCTCAAACCTCCGGGATGCTTCATCCCATCTGCTGCAGGCCAGCGGACTGGGAGGCCTGAAACACAACGCTGTGCTGGTCTCCTGGCCACGGAACTGGAAGCAAGGAGACGAGCACCAGAAATGGAGGAACTTTGTTGGTACGCCGTAAAGAAGTACAAAACGCTTAATTGGACTGATGATATTTCCCTGTAAGCTGGTGGAAACACACTAAAAGATGCTACTCTTCAAGTTAAAACAGCAAGGCTGAAGTTCCTCCAATTTAGAAACTGATTTAGGTAGTAAGAATACAGCTTCTGTTGAATCTGTACCCTGACTGAAATAAATACACAGTTTTAAATATGAAAAACTTTAATAGATAATTATTGATTATTTAGAACTAGTCATTATTTTGTTGCTTTTATTTTAAGACTATATAATTTAAATTACTACTACAATTTTACATGATCCTTTGGGATAAAAAAAGTATTTTTTTTTATTGAAATGATCTGGATTGAGTTTAGTTACGTTTAATTGATTTTAAATGAACTGAATAGAATTCACCTGAAACAAACTTCCTAGAAAAGAAAGACATCTACAATCACCTGATACATTATCCAAAACATTTTGTTGAGCTGGGTCTTACCCTCTTTTGAACTCTTAAATTCCTGTGGTGCAGTTTCAGCCAGGTGTAAAAATGATTCCCCTGTGGTTTGGTCCATATGGACATAATGCTATTATGCAGTTACTGCAGATTTGTCTGCTGCACATCTATAATGCAATTCTCTCACATCCCAAAGGTGCTGTATAAGACGGATAGGTGGTGACTGTAGAGGGCATTAGGGTACAGTCAGGCTATTGTTATGTTCATGGCACCAGTGGGAGATTGTTGGGATTTATTTGACAGGGAAACATTTTTCCAATCTGTTATTTTTGAAGGTTAGTGAGTCTGTTTAAGGTGTGGTAAGGTGGGTGTGGTTCTTAACTGACCATAGTTACACTTGCCATGGTCCTCTGCATCAAATTCAATGCTTTTCGAAAAGTTGAACCACAGTAGTCTGCCTTTTATTCTCTGACTTCTAGAACTATCATTTTTATCCACCTCTTCCCTGGATATATTCTGTATTTCTAACCATAATCTGTAAACCTCACAGATGGTTGTCAGTAAAAACGAAAGCAATCTCTAACATTCTTGGACCGGACAATCTAGCATAAAGAGTCATGCAACATTTAAACTCTTCAAACACATTTTTCCTTATTTTGTTACTCAGTTTGAATTTTGTCACTTTTTTTTATTTTGTCACACTTAGCTGGTTAAATTAATTGAGTTTTATAAAAAGGCATAAAAAATCAAAATACACACCTCTTTTGTCAGTTAGGATTACCAAAATTATATAAAAAAGCGGTATTTTTTTAGGCCATTTCCACTTGACAGCTCACTGGTCCATCAAAGGGAAACACAGAGAAAAACACACATGCAGGTACCCTGATTTAGAGGAAACAATTACCATAGGTTCGGATTTTTGATCTGGCTTTAAAACTGATTTTTTTAAATGCTCATGGATCATCACCATTTAGAAATTAATTTATTTCAAAGCTATGTTTTCTAAATATTTTTCTCTTATTCTCTTTCTTCATAAATCCATTTATCTTATGAAGCAGTTCAGCAATCAGGTGTTAAGAACACCCCATACTTTACGATTAAAATAGTGTTCTGTGACTTGCATGCTTCTCCCTTTTTCCCAAAAATGTCCTTAAAGTCATTACGCCTAAGCACTACAATTTTAGTCTCATCAGACCACAAGACATGCCTCAGTGAAGGACTCATTGTCCTTTTAAATAATGAGGCTTTATTTAAAAGCTTCAGTCAGCATCTTCACAAGTTCTTTACTTTAGTTCGGGGGACATGTATTTTACACCGAAAAACAGTCATCGCTGGGACACAGGGCCATTTATCTTTACTAAACAATATGATAGGTGAACATCCTAAGGCCATACTTTGCTTATTTCTGCAAACACAACAAAATCAATGTGTTTGCAGTTTTATCTTAAATGCATCCACAGGTGTGACTCCATCTAACCCACCCACCAAAAACTGGTTGAAAAGACATTGTAAAGGCTACATGATTTATGTCCAAATGACGTCTATGTTGGGTTGAAATGTAAAAGGTGAAAAGCTGTAATTTTCAGATCGTTGACAAGATATTGATAACTGGGTTTGCAGCGTCTTTTTATTATTGAACTAAATTGGGACAAAATCAGACGAAGCAAACAAAGCCCAGTTTTCAACAATGATTTTTTGACTAAATCAAGACTGACTAACCGACCAGATTTAGACTAAAAACCACTGTCTAAACTTTAGACTCTAAAGGACGTGAGGTGTTTGGGGGGAACTCAAAAAATGATAACATGCCCCTCCTAACAGAGACTTTAAAAGTCATAAGATTATCTGTAGGCTTCCCAAAATGATTTCGAAGGTATAGTAATGAAAATTATTTAAAATTCTGACTTTAAAATAAAATAATACAAAAACAATCTTGGAAAAAACCCTCTCTCGTATTTTCTATAATTTACACAATGTAATTATGTTTTATAATCCTAACCAGCTTAGGTAATATTTGGCCTGATTTAATGTTAGGTAGTGGGAAAAACTGAGTAACACCTATTTGAATAAAATTTATGCAAATATCTGTTTTCTACGACTATTAGGGCTAGGGTACAGATTGTTTTTTTGTCTATCTCGACAAAAAAGTTGTAAAATTACGAGAATAAATTCATAACCTTACGAGAATATTGTGGTCATATTATGAGAATGAAGTCATCCA